GCCCCGACGGGCCCGCGCCGTCCCGCCCCCTCCACCCGGCCCTGCGCCGGCCGTCCGGCTCCTGCCGCCTCTTCCCCGCTAGGTGCCCAGACCCTATGCGGCGTCCCACGCCCTGTCCCTCCTCCCGTGGACAGAACTCGGGCTCTGGAGTAACACGTAGGCTATTTTCAGTGATTGTTATCATTTAAGGCGAGAACCATGTGGCTGTGTTTGAAATGCAAGGCTTTCCACTCCCCCGTTAAAAATCCAGCCAAACGCCCCAACTCCACCGTGATGCTGTGTGTTCTCTGGTCGATCTTCCCGTCTTCTCCCTCCGCTCTCAAAAGAGAAATTTGCCGGAGTTTACCTCTTAGTGCCCACGTTTCTTTTTTTCCTGTTCTACCCCACCTTCTCTGGGTTTCGCCAAAGAGTTTTCTGGTTTGGATTATATTCCTTACATTTTTGAGGGATGTGGAGAGTTGGGAGAGAGACTGGCTTGATTTTCTTTCCTTTTTTGGTGACACTCGTTGGTTGTGCGTTGCCCTCCGCTCCCCCTCCAGATACCTCCTTTCTCTCCGAGACCTTTTTCTTCACCATCCAGCTACTCACGGATGCCGAGAAAGTTGTGGCTCATCCAGCCAGCTCTGGACGCAGCAGACGGATGGGGTGGGAGGTAGAGAAGTAGGTAGTCTCTGGGCTACCACACTCCGGGGCTTTACTCTCCCCCTGAACCTCGGTTGTTTCCTCTATGCCCCAGTTACGTCCTTAGCAGAGATCTGCCAACTTCGATTTTTTTTTTTTTTTTTTTTTTTTTTTGCTGCAAACCACGTTCCCCGCTAATCATCACTGCTCAGCTGCTGGTGTCAGTGTAGCGAGAAATAAAAGGGGAGGGTCTGCTGCTGATTTTACACATACGCGCGCGCACACACGCACGCACCCCTGAGAAACTCATTAAATTCTTTCCTGACAGTTTCATGTCTTCTCTGGGACTATTTATAAACCTTTATTGGCAACGTCTCAAGTTCCAACAAAGTTGAAATAGCACCAAAGCCCCCCCCCCCAAAAAAAAAAATCTGATTTACTTTTGTCTTTATTTTTTGTTAATAGAGATTAGTTTACTTGGTTAAATTTCTTCCATAAATTTAATTTTCAGTTTAAAACAGGCTTTTGTTTGACATTACCTTAAAATTCCCATTGAAAGCTTTTGTCTTTGTTGTCTTTAATTCACTATGGAGGGTACTAGTTGGCAGTAGGAGGTCAACATTTAGGTCTTTTATTCTTCCTGGGTCGGTTGTTTACAACTAAAGATAAAATAAATTGGTAAAATGCCTTTCTGCTGTAACCAGGCGATCTAAATAAACTTTGGAGGAAATATCTTTTCTTTCCACTCTTCAATAGAAATGGAAATTTATGTAGGAATGCCAGCTTCAGGGCGTCTCCTTAGCAACATGAATCCTTTGCCCCCTTTTTTCTGTCTCTTGAAATAATAGCCCCCTGATTGCATAAAGACTTGTCAGAAAGGTTGGGAGAAACCAGCTTCCACTCCCATTTTCTTTTCAGGCCCGTATCGTTTTTTCTTTTGGCCGGGAATGTGAGGAGTGGGGAGAAGCCTGTTCGAGTTTGTGGAGTAAGCCATAGGCAGTGTTTGCTAATCTTCCCTTAATTGCCTGCAGACCCATTTATCTCAGCTTTTCTTCCCCTTCTAGGCTATGTAATTGGGGGACAACAGCTTAATGCAAATACTGTAGTAACAGCACTCTGCAAGGTAAAAAATCAGAGGCAGGTACAGTTTCTGATCCCCCCCAACCCCGGTATACTAGCCTTTTACAGAAATTCATACGTTGGCACTTATTTCTAAATAAGTTCCTGAAAATAAGCTTTAGTTTCCTTTGCTTAAAAAATCGTTTTCATCTTAGAAAAAGTACTGTTTGATAGCAGACACAGAGGGCGGGAGTAGAGATGGTTTTCTATGAGGCTATCTGGAACAAGTTCTTGACTTTCTTTAGGTAGTAGCTGTTCCTTTTTTTCCTCTCTAAAGTGGTGGGAGAGGTGCCAGAGGGAAGGAAATAAAATAGAGAAAACTACTCTATCGCCCCACTTTACCAAATGTCCAGGTGCTTGAAGCTTCTATCCCTCAACGTTTTTTTGCAAGGGAGAAATGGGGGGCGGGGGGCGGTTCGAGGAGCTTGAATTAAAAGGAGCGATCCTTTTCTTGCTTGTTCCAAAGAGCAGGCAGCTTTCCTCTTTCTGTTTGCTGTGTGGAGTAGCAGAAAGCAAGGGAGGGAAATGTCTTTTCTGCAGATTTTAAAAGATCCACTTCATTGTCTCTTGAAATGAATTACGGCGGGAGGAACCACCAAGGACAGTTTTACTGAAGGCCCTTCACCAGGATGTTCAGGGCTTAATTAAAAACCTTTTTCTTAATTAGAATTAAAACTGCCGTGAAGAGGCAAGCTTGTACTTACAAAGGGAAATTTCAGGAATGTTTCTTTTGACGATAATATGCCCTACTTAGGCCCATTTTCTACTGAAACTTTACTTAGCCATTATTTTTAAAGCTACATTTTAATTTTGGTACCAGGAATGTATCATTTGCAGCTTATAACCTGTTTGGGTTTTAAAAGCAGAACCTTGCCTTTTGTGTCCCGGTGTATTGGAGGTTGCGTCAGCACTTCTCGAAAGAACCAGTATTCTGGGTGTCATTCAGCCATAGTGCTTTTCTACCATGTCCCAATTCAGTATGTGGGGGGTGGGGGGGGGCAGTGTAGACATTCATCTTCAGCTATAACTTTTCCATACAGACAAATGAGAAAACAGCTAATTGGCTGTCATTTGTGGTAGATACAGGGCAAAAACAACACCCCACTAAAGTATGCTTGTTAGAAGTTTAGAATAGACTAGGTAGTCTCACGTGGCTGCTGGTCATAGAATTTCTAAGGATTGTTTTCCCTACTACTGCTTTGGCAACCTTTGAATACATCTTAATTTTTATTTTATGAACAGTAGTAATATTTTAGACTTTTGCCTGGTCACATTCAGTTCTGATAACTTTTTTTTTTTTAAGAATATAGTTGTTAGGGTTTCATAGCAATATCACAAAAAGACTCCTTAGTCCCAATAAGATTAGTGTACACAGATTGTAGACACCCAAAAGTCAACACTTAATGTGCTACATAATCTCTAGGGTGATCTTATATTTCCTCTTTAAAATTCATAAATATGTAGCTATTCTATATATAAAGCAGATTGCTTTTTTGATATCTGTGATTCACTGACTAAGCAAAAAAGCAAAGACCTGCAGATGGCCCAGATGAGATGAGTACATTTTACTAAGAATGATTTGGGGATCTAACAAGTGCTTTTATCCATCTTTTCAGCCATAGATCTGACTGTCTTTTCCATCCACAAACTACTTGATCAAACAGTAGTGCCTATTTCAAGGAGCATTGTTAACATCATTGCTGCACTATCCTAAAAATAGCTGCACTGGCAATTTTGAAATGGCAGTGCGCTGTATACTTGTAACAGGTGAAAATTATTATTTTCCGTTGATAAGAGGTTCTTTTAAGAGTGCTTTATATGTTGCTTATTTTTTAACTTCAGTATAAAGATACCCATTAAAAGACATACAAAAGCCTGTCTTAGCTATTACTAAGGATAAACTGAACAGCCTAATCACCTGCAAATTGCAGAAATTTTGAGAGA